TGTGTGTTGTGTGTTGTGTGTTGTGTGTTGTGTGCTGTGTGTTGTGTGTTGTGTGTTGTGTGTTGTGTGTTGTGTGTTGTGTGTTGTGGGTTGTGGGTTGTGGGTTGTGGGTTGTGGGTTGTGGGTTGTGGGTTGTGGGTTGTGGGCTGTGGGTTGTGGGTTGTGGGTTGTGGGTTGTGGGTTGTGGGTTGTGGGTTGTGGGTTGTGTGTTGTGTGTTGTGTGTTGTGTCTTGTGTCTTGTGTCTTGTGTCTTGTGTATTGTGTCGTGTGTCTTGTGTGTTGTGTGTTGTGTGTTGTGTCTTGTGTCTTGTGGCTTGTGTCTTGTGCCTTGGTTCTTGTGTCTTGTGTCGTGTGTCTTGTGTCTTGTGTCTTGTGTCTTGTGTCTTGTGTCTTGTGTCGTGTGGCTTGTGTCTTGTGTCTTGTGTATTGTGTCTTGTGTCTTGTGTCTTGTGTCTTGTGTGTTGTGTGTTGTGTGTTGTGTGTTGTGTGTTGTGTGGTGTGTGTTGTGTGTTGTGTGTTGTGTGATGTGTGATGTGTGATGTGTGTTGTGTGTTGTGGGTTGTGGGTTGTGTGTTGTGTGTTGTGTGTGGTGTGTGGTGTGTGGTGTGTGGTGTGTGGTGTGTGTTGTGTGTTGTGTGTTGTGTGTTGTGTGTTGTGTGTTGTGTGTTGTGTGTTGTGTGTTGTGTGGTGTGTGGTGTGTGGTGTGTGGTGTGTGGTGTGTGGTGTGTGGTGTGTGGTGTGTGTTGTGTGTGTGTGTTGTGTGGTGTGTGGTGTGTGTGTGGTGTGTGGTGTGTGGTGTGGTGTGTGGTGTGTGGTGTGTGGTGTGTGGTGTGTGGTGTGTGGTGTGTGGTGTGTGTGTGTTGTGTGTGTGTTGTGTGTGTTGTGTGTGTGTTGTGTGTGTGTTGTGTGTGTTGTGTGTGTGTTGTGTGTGTTTTGTGTGTGTGTGTGTTGTGTGTTGTGTGTTGTTGTGTGTGTTGTGTGTGTTGTGTGTGTGTGTGTGTGTGTGTGTGTGTGTGTGTGTGTGTTGTGTGTGTTGTGTGTGTTGTTGTGTGTGTGTTGTGTGTGGGTTGTGTTGTTGTGTGTGTTGTGTGTTGTGTGTTGTGTTGTGTGTTGCGTGTGTTGTGTGTGTGTTGTGTGTGTGTGTGTGTGTGTGTGTGTGTTGTGTTGGTGTGTGTGATGTGTGTTGTGTGTGTGTGTGTGTGTGTGTGTGTGTGTGTGTGTGTTGTGTGTGTTGTGGTGTGGTGTGGTGTGTGTGTGCGTGTGTGTGTGTGTGTGTGTGCGTGTGCGTGTGCGTGTGCGTGTGCGTGTGCGTGTGCGTGTGCGTGTGCGTGTGCGTGTGCGTGTGCGTGTGCGTGTGCGTGTGCGTGTGCGTGTGCGTGTGCGTGTGCGTGTGCGTGTGCGTGTGCGTGTGCGTGTGCGTGTGCGTGTGCGTGTGCGTGTGCGTGTGCGTGTGCGTGTGCGTGTGCGTGTGCGTGTGCGTGTGCGTGTGCGTGTGCGTGTGCGTGTGTTTGTGCGTGTGTGTGTGTGTCACGGTGCGTTTGTTCGGGATGTCTGTGCGCTGGCTTCTCCCGGAACAACACGAGGCTGCCTTCCCGTTGGCTCTCCCCCCCTCGTGCGGAGGGCCTCTGGCCGCGGCACGTCCTCGTGGAAGTCCGCCGTGTCGCGTTCTGGCCACTCCTCCCGGCTCTCCAGGTTCTTGCTGCGGCGCCGCAAGGGCGCCATCATCACACGCTCGTTTTCACGAGATCATAAAGCGATGCCAAGCCGCCCCAAACTACACGCACGATTTGGCAGCCAGGTTGGCACGGCTTGGAAGCAGAGGAGGGTTTTCGAGGCGGTAAGCGTGCAGGCGCTCTCATCTTCGAAGGCATTATTCTGCGCGCGCTGGGCCGCTTCGCATGCTATGCTCCGATCGGCCTTGTTCTTGAAGGCGATCGCCCCTGGCAGCGGGTTCCCGATAGCCTTAAGTCGGGCCTGTCCCTCTACAGGGGGAATATTCAAAAATAGTCAAAACATAGTCTGGGGACTATTTTTGAGTATTTCGGGGCATCTGTTTAGCATGTGTTTGACAATTTTTAATTTTTTCGTCCAAACTCACCCTGTAGGGGAGAGGCCCAACCTAACGATAGCCAACGACAGCAGCAGTCGATGGACAGGGGGGCGCGAGGTGTTGCTTGAGTCTTGGGCGCGGTGCGGTGTGCCTGTTTTTGCTCATCATTCCTTTTGTTTTGTTCGTCCTCCCCCTCCCCCTCCTCGTCCTCCTCGTTCCCCTCCTCCTCCCCCTCCTCCTCATCCTCGTCCTCCTCCTCGTCCTCGTCCTCCTCCTCGTCATCCTCCTCCTTCCCTCCAGCCTCCTGCATCGTCCTTCTTCTATGCTCTTTCCTCCCCCTCCTCTACATCCTCGCTCTCCCTCGTCTCTCGCCCTCCCTCCTCCTCTATTCCTCCTCCTCTGTCCTCCTCCTGTCTCCTTCCCTCCACTGTGTCATCATTTGAATGCGCACCTCTACCAACTTCCCTTGGGGATGGGCGCAGGATGAGGATCACGAGAGGGGGCGGGAGGAGGAAAAGAAGCACGAAAAAGGAGCAGGAGGAGGAAGAGGAGGAGGAGAAAGAGAATGATCACGAGGATGCCCCCCCCCTCCCCCCCCCAGACCGTCCCTTGGGAGTGCTTGGGGGGGGGGGGGCAAGCATACACACATGCATATTCATCCGTCTACGAGGCCTGGGGGCCCGGGGCCCGGGCCCCGACGGCAAGCGGCCCAGTTGCAGCCACGCCTAACTAAAGCACCAGGCCTAAGTGACATAGGCCTAACTACATGCTTGCGCAGCTGGAATCAGGCCCGGCCCAGCTACAACCAGACCTAATTAGAGCAACGGGCCTATCTAGAATATGCCTAACTAGACTGGACCAAATTAGATACTCGCGCAGCTGGAACCAGCACATGCCTAGCTACAACCAGGCCGAAACATAGCACCAGGCCTAACTAGCATAGGCCTCACTGTATGCTCGCGCAGCTCGAGCCAGACTAGGCCCAGCTATAACCAGGCCCGACTAAAGCACCAGGCCTAAGTGAGATAGGCCAAACTAAATGCCCGCGCAGCTGGAGTCAGACCCGGCCCAGCTACAACCAGGCCTAAGTAAAGAACCGGGCTTACCTAAAATAGGCCTAATTAACATTGGCCTCACGCCTAATTTAGTGCGCGCGCAGTTGGAATCAGGCCTGGCCTAGTACACCAGGCTCGACCAAAACAAAGGCGCAACTCAAATCAGGTCTTACTAAAATAAGTTCGATTGCGATCAGGCGGAACGAAATACCATGCTTAATTGAAGGAGCGAGTGCCTAAGATTAGGCTTGAGTAAAGCACACATTTACCAACTGCAACCAGGAATGACTAGGTGAGAGTCAGCAGCCCCTCTCGTCTGCGGCGCCTCAGGCGCCTTCTTTCTGTGTGGAAGCATATTGTCCGTGGGTGTTTCGTTTCCGTCGGTTTGGATGTTCCGTCGGTTCGGGGGGGTCTGCGGACGATTGGACTCGCATGCCCCGAGCGCGTTGCAGTTGCTGCCCTCAGACTGGCACGGATCGTCATCATCGTCATCATCATCATCATCATCATCATCATCATCATCATCACCATCAGCATCAGCATCAGCATCATCAGCATCAGCATCAGCATCGCCATCATCATCTTCATCATCTTCATCGTCATCAGCAGCAGCAGCATCTTCATCGTCATCATCATCTTCATCATATTCATCGTCATCAGCAGCAGCATCTTCATCGTCATCATCATCATCATCATCATCATCATCATCTTCATCTTCATCTTCATCTTCATCTTCACATTCATCTTCATCTTCATCATCTTCATCGTCATCAGCAGCAGCAGCATCATCATCATACCGACGCCCAGGCCAGGGACTGGCCAGGCCGGGATCGGTTTTGCTGGCCTCACTGCGTCATCGGGCCCCCGCCTCGCCGCGCACATGCTTCGGGCCACGAGTTGCAGACGCCCCTGCTGGACGTCCTCCTCCTCCTCCTCCTCCTCCTCCTCCTCCTCCTCCTCCTCCTCCCTCGGACGCTCCCGAGGGGAGCCTGGCGTTCCTCTGGCCCTCCGCGCGTGCGCGGCAGGTGGACCACGTGTGCCTCGCGCAGCGCGTCGGGGCGCTGCCGTGGCTGGGCCCGGCGCAGGCTGGGGTCGGGGGCGGCCGGACCGGCCCCTAGCAAGCCAAGGCCTTCCAGGGCCCCTGCATCCTCACTGCGCGCCCTTCTGATACGGGTCGACGGCAGGAGCAAGCATTATCGGGCGAGTAGCGGAGTAGCAGGACGGCGCGGGCGAGCAGCAGCAGGTTCAGGAGGACGGTGTGTTGATCTATGAGGTAGAGACGGAGGGTCAGGGGCGGCCTGACCGATCCCTGGCAAGCCATCCCCTCGCGCGACGTCCCCCTCGCCTCACCCGAAGACTTCTGCATGCGGCCAGGGGGGGAAGCCTGGAGGGCGAGGGTGGCGTCACGGAAGGTGCTGGCCACGGGAGGGGTCGGCCCGGCCCCGCGCTGGGGGGCGGCTGGCGGCGAGACAAGCGAGGGCGAGGCTCGAGGGCCGGTGCTTCTGGACGTTCTCTGCCCCTCTCGGGCCTGCGCCAGCGCCCCCGTGGCCACAGCTGGATCCGCATCAACATTCTTTGGGCGCCCGAGTTATCCGGGGTAACTCGGGCCCGGGGTAACGCGGGTTTGGATTCCCGAAAAACGAACCCGAGTTAGCCCTGACCCGAGTTACCCCTGATGATGCGGGGCTCTGGACGCCCGAACTATCGGGGTAACTCGGGTCCGGGGTAAGTCGGGTCCGGGTTCCCGAAAAACGAACCCGAGTTAGCCCTGACCCGAGTTACCCCTAATGATTCGGGGCTCTGAATTCTGGCTCGAACGCACCACAGGGCAGGTCGGGAGTCCGCCGTCCGTCCTTCCGTCATCCCCAGGCGGCGTCGGGCGTCGTTCTCGTTCTCGGCGTCGGCGTTCGTCTCGCTGTTGAGTTCGAGGGACGAGGAGGAGGACGAGGAGGGGGAGGAGAATGAACAGGGGGAGGAGGAGAATGAGGGGTTGGTGACCAGAGTTAACCGAAGATGAATAAGCGATGCTGCAATACACCCTCCCGACCTCAGTCCGCATCTACCTCCACTACAGAGCAAGGCTTAGTAAGGGTGAAGGGGGAGGGGGGAGGAAGGGAGAGGGAAGGTAAAACTGATTACGGACATAGGAAAGAAGGAGGCAAGTTCTCACCTCTTCATCACAAGAAGACCCCTTGACATACCGGTACAGTCAGCCCTGCCGTTTTGGCGATATCCCCGCTTTGAGAAAAAAATGGTGTGCATCCTTCTTGTGCGTAATCAAGAAATCGAAACCTTTAATGCAGTTCAGCGAGGTGTCTAGCGATATCCCCTTCTCAAGAAGGACAGGCTCCCCATCCGTGCAAGGGGTGCACAATTTCCCTCTCTGCTCGTGACCTTCGAGGAATGTTCAAGCGACAGCTCCACTCTGAAAAAGAGCGGCCATGGATCCGTGCAGCCCTGCCCGCGTTGACGCTTCGGGTTCTTTAACTGAACGAGGTCTACGGCGGGACCTTCAGTCTTCCCAAACAGTGCTTGACTCAGGGGTTCTTACTTCTGCTCTACAGTCGGCCCGGATTAGTAGGTCGACCCTGCCAGCTCAAGGGTACCCTTGTGTCCTGTGCCTCGCGACACGTGCCTTCTTACACTCCTACGGCGATGTGGCCCTTGGAAGGGTCTTGTGGTGTCCTCTCGCGTGTCCTGTCCAGTCAAGGCCGACTGTAAGAAACTGGGCCTGTCTGCCGCTCTGGCGTCCACGTTGCCGCCGTCGCCGCCTCGTCACCGCCCGTCGTCCAGGCCTGTCTGCAACTTTGGCGGCTATGTTGTCTCCGTCGCCGCCCGTCTTCTGTGCCTGTGAGCTGGTCTGGTGGCTAAATTGCCGCCGTCGCCGCCCGTCGTCACGGTCGTCTAGGCCGGTCCGTCGGTCTGGCGGCTGTGTTGTCGCAGTCGCCGTTGCCGCTCGTTGCCGCCGTTAGATTACACCTGTGAGGTACGCGCGTCTGCGTGTGAGTGTTCCTTGTGCCACACGTTGTTCAAAACGAAGGGTCGGCTAAATGCTCTTTGGCCGAGACAGTACAAGACCTGCGCCAAGATACGCCAGCGCGTTCAGGCGTTGGCCCACGCGAGGCGACTGGACGGGATGATCCAGATCCCGCGCTTGATGGTCTGGGCTGCGCCGCTGCCACTGGCGAGGCCGACAATCCCTTTGACCATCCCTGTGCTGAATTATCTCAGCCCTCACAGTATCTTGCTGTGTGTCGCGGCGTGCTCTTTTGCCAGGTCTGCGGACGCCATTGTGTCGAGGGTCCCAGCGACTTACGCTCTGATTGTGGCTCCCCTCCAAAGCAGGAAAGGATGTGATTCCAGGATGAGTCGGGGTCTCCCGCCGAAATCCGGAGGCAAATTTCCCGATCTGTGATTGCGTTTGGTAGCGCGCCCCGCGTTGCAGCTGGCCACCACGCGCATGGGTAGAAAGTAGAATAGACACATTGGAGGTTTTGGGGGGGCCTCTTTGAGGTCCCTTTCCTTGTAGGCTTCGTGGGGGCCTCTTGGGGGCCTGTCGGAGGCCCGTCGGGCGGGGTTCAGAATCGTTCCGGGCGCAATAGTTCCTCCAATTCCCCCTGAAGAAGCTGGATTGAACCATCCAATCCCAGCATGTGACGGGCTGCAACTCAATCATCCCTCGTGGCGGTGCTAGCATGTACGGGTGGCCCACCCGCGCGGCAGGTGCGACTGCAGAAAAGCAGATCAGGAGGATCAGAAGAAGGCGGATGGATGGAGGATGGGGAGGATCAGGCAAGGGGAGAGGGAAGGGCGCGGAGGAGGTAGATGAGAGGAGGAGGAGGAGGTGGAGGAGGAGGAGGAGGAAGAGGAGGAAGAGGAGGAGGAGGAGCAGGAGGAGGAGGGGGGGGGCTGATGATGATGATGATGATGATGAGGAGGAGGAGGAGGAGGAGGAGGAGGAGGAGGAGGAGGAGCAGAAGGAGGAGCAGAAGGAGGAGGAGGAGGAGGAGGAAGGAGGAGGAGGAGGAGGAGAGGAGGAGGAGGAGGAGGAGGAGGAGAGAGGAGAGGAGAAGAGGAGAGAAGGGGAGGAGGAGGAGAAGAGGAGGTGGAGAGGAGGAGGAGGAGGAGGAGGAGGAGCAGGAGGAGGAGGAGGAGGAGGACGAGGACGAGGAGGAGGAGAAGGAGGAGAGAGAGGAGGAGAAGAGGAGGAGGAGAAGAGGAGGAGGAAGAGGAGGAGGAGGAGGAGGAGGAAGGAGGAGGAGGAGGAGGAGGAGGAGGAGGAGGAGGGGGGGGAGGAGGAGGAGGAGGAGGAGGGAGAGGAGGAGGAGGAGGAGGAGGAGGAGGAGGAGGAGGAGGAGGAGGAGGAGGAGGAGGAGGAGGAGGAGGACGAGGACGAGGAGGAGGAGGAGGAGGAGGGAGGAGGAGGAGAAGGAGGAGGAGCAGGAGGAGGAGCAGGAGGAGGAGGAAGAGGAGGAGGAGGTGGGGAGCGAGGAGGAAGGCAAGAAGGACCAAAACACGGCAAACCGTGCGGAGGAGGAGGGGCAGGAGGATTGGAAGTGTCCGACGGTGATTTGACTTCCAGCTAACCGTCGGCACAGGCACGTAGGCCCACGAAGTCATCGCCTTACACCTGCGGCGGGCGTATCCCGAACGTGGAAGGGACGCGAAAGAGGAATGGGAGCAGGAGGGGAGGTCTGGGCGTTCCCCGCTCGCCTCCCAATTTCCAGCCCTGGCATGAGAAGAAGAAGAAGGAGGGAGAGGTTGGGGAGTGAGGATGGAAGCGACCTGAGCGTGAAGTCCTGCCGATCCAGCTGCCCGCGGCAGTGGAATCACGATCGTCCACGTACCATGGCCAAGTGACATTCTCGTCGCTTGGATGTTGCGCCTCTGGCGCGGTGAGCCACCACCCACCAAACCACCCCAACCCAACCCGAAGGCCTCAATTTGCCCTCCATTCCCAGGGTGGCGACAGGGAGCATTGCCAACCAGAAAGACAAGCACACGAAAAATTAGCCTGGCGAAGGAGCCTGTCGTATGCAGAGGTGAATACTGCAGTTATGGGCGTCGTCTTCGGTTGAGCTCCCTATGGGCCACGACATGCTGCACTCGGTGGGGGAGACGCAGGCGAATTTTGCCATTGGGGCCTTCGGCGGAGCTCCCTATGTGGCCACGGAACGCTGTATTGGGTGGGGGAGACGAATGCGAATGTTGCCATTGGGGCCGTCGATGGAGCTCCCTGGGGGCCACGACATGTTGTAATTGGTGGGGGGACGCATGCGAACTTTGCCACTGGGACATTCGGTGGAGCCCCCTATGACGCCACGAAACGATGTGCCGAGTGAGGGTGACGCATGTGGACTGTGCTAATGGGGCCTTCGGTGGAGCTCCCTATGGGACCACGAAACGTTGTACGAGGTTGGGGGGACGCATGTGGACAGTGCCATTGAAGCCTTCGGTGGAGCTCCCAGTGGGGCCACGCAGCGCGGTGGGGGAGACGCAAGTGGACGGTGCCCCTGGCGCCGTTGGTGAGCCCCCTACGGAGCCACGAGACGCTGGATTGGGACGCATGCGGACGGTGCCATTGGGGCATTCGGTGAAGCTCCCTACGGGGCGACGAAACGCTGTACTGGGTGGGGGACGCATGGGTGCGGCAGCGCTAGAACCGTCGGTGGAGCTCCCTAGAGCGTTCACGAAACGTTGTATTGGGTGGGGGACCAGTGGGGGGAAAGGCATGCGGAGAGTGCCACTGAGGCCTTCGGTGGAGCTCCTTATGGGGCCACGGAACGCTGCACGGTGTAGGGGAAACGCACGCGGACGGTGCCACTGGCGCCGCAGGTGGAGCTCCCTTTTGTGGGGCCACGGAGCGGTGTATTCGGTGGGGGTGACGCATGCGGGCGGTGGCGCTGGGACCTTCGGTGGAGCTCCCAATGGGGCCGCGAAACGTTGCACTGGGTGGGGGGGACGCATGCGGGCGGTAGCACTTGGGTCGTCGGTGGAGCTCCTTTTATGGGGCCACGAAACGCTGTACTGGGTGGGGGGGACGCATGCGGACGGTAGCGCTGGGACCTTCGGTGGAGCTCCCAATGGGGCCACGGAGCGCACTGAGAGGGAGGAACGCTTGCGGGCCGTAACACTGGGACATTCGGTGGAGCTCCCTCATGGGGCCACGAAACGCTGTATTGGGTGGGGGGGGCGCATGCGGGAGACAGCACTCTCATCTTCGGTGGAGCTCCTTCTTATGGGGCCACGAGGCGCTGTTCTGGGTGGTGGAGGCGCATGCGGGCGGTAGCACTAGGATTTTCGATGGAGTCCCAATGGGACTACGAAACGCTGTACTGGATGGGGGGGGACGCATGCGGGCGGTAGCGCAGGGACCTTCGGTGGAGCTCCCTACAAGGCCACGAAACTCTGTACCTGGTGGGGGGGACGCATGCGGGCGGTAGCACAGGAACCTTCGGTGGAGCTCCCTCTGGGGCTACGGAACGTTGTACTGGGTGGGGGGTCGAATGCGGACGGTAGCGCTGGGACCTTTGATGGAGCACCCTATGGGGCCACGACGCGCTGTACTGGTTGCGGGAACGCATGCGGGCGGTAGCAGGTGGAGCTCCTTTTTGTGGGGCCACGAGACGTGTGAGGGGTGCGCCGCCCTGGTGGACTGATGCGGAGAGCCGAGGCATGGATTGGAGGAGGGAGGGGGAGGAGGAGGCGGAAGGGAGTGAGGGAGGGACGCAGGCCGCTGTCTCCTCAACACGAGGACCCAACACCACCGGATGGTTGGGAAGGAAGTCCGCCCCACCCCCCCCCAAACCCAAAAATCGGGTCTTCGGATTGGGTTGGAGTGGTCAGGTAGGCAGCCCGTCAGAGTAAATGTACTTAGACATGGCCCGCATGGCCCACGGGGCTGAGCTCAGGGGCAGCGATTTGGGGGGGATAGGCATATGGGGGATGCATCGATCCCCAATCGCCCATTGATCGCCGATAGGGCCCCGATGGCCATCGCCGATCTTTCGGCGATGTATCGCCGATTCCAGGTCGATGTCCCCCCCCCCCCTGTGCCAGTCCCCCCCTATCGTTGCCCCCCGCGAGCCGGGTGTGGAGGTTGACCTCCTGGACAGGTTTGTCGAGGTCTTCTGGCTCAACGAGACGCTGTCGGTGCGCCTCGCTTGCCTGCCCCCCATCGCTCCGGAGCGTCGGCGGCTGGGCAGGGTCACTGCGTTGGCGGAGGGCGACCTGAACGGGGGTAAATTTGCTAGGGACTCGTGCCACCGTGTAAGAGGGGGGGGTGGAGTTGACAAAACAGTGTGTGTGTGTGTGCACATATGTGTTTTCATAGTATCAGATGGTACGATCTCATGGAATCGCGATCAGGTTCCCGACATCCCACCGACTTGGTAATTGATGAACAACGATCCGTATATCGAAGTCATTGATATGGCAAGTGCGATGACGGTGTTGCAATGATGGCGATATGAGAAACGGACCTCGACAGGGGTAACCTCGCTTGGGAATTGTGCCACCGTGCAGGAGGGGGGGGGGGGGGGGGCAAAGCAGAGGAAGCGGCCGAGAGAGGGCGGAAGGAGCGAGCCGCCCAGGGGGACAGGTCACGCCCCGAGCGTGTGGCGCGGCCGGCCCCGCCGGCGGGCCCGCGGCGGCTGGTTCACCAATGGGCAGGCGTCGGCGGGGCGCAGGAACTAACAGGCACAAGTGATCGCCGAATCCCAGGAAACATGTAAAGATATGGTAAGGGGAGAGAAAGGCGAACAGCCAGAACATATTGAGCATCATGAGAATCTTGGGACGCGTGTGTCTATTTCTGTGTGTGTTGTGTGTGTGTCTTCAACGGTACCCCCGCTTAGGCCACTCCGCTGGCGCAGACGACCCCTGCCTCACCGCCGACGCAAAAGTGTGTGTGCGTGTGTGTGTGCGTGTGCGTGTGTGTGTGTGTGTGTCTGTGTATGTATATGTGTATGTATATGTGTATGTTTATGTGTATGTGTATGTGTGTGTATGTGTATACGGATATGTATACGGATGTGTACGTGTATGTGTGTATGTGCATGTGCATGTGCATGTGCATGTGTATGTGTGTATGTGTATGAGTGTGAGTGTGAGTGTGAGTGTGTGTGTGTGGGAGTGTGTGGGAGTGTGTGTAAGTGTGCGTAACTGTGTGTAAGTGTGTGTAAGTGTGTGTAGATGTGTGTAAGTGTGTGTAAGTGTGTGTAAGGGTGTGTAAGTGTGTGTAAGTGTGTGTAAGTGCGTGTAAGTGTGTGTAAGTGTGTGTAAGTGTGTGTAAGTGTGTGTAAGTGTGTGTAAGTGTGTGTAAGTGTGTGTAAGTGTGTGTAAGTGTGTGTAAGTGTGTGCGTGTGTGTGCGTGTGTGTGTGTGTGTGTGCGTGTGTGCGTGTGTGCGTGTGTGCGTGTGCGTGTGTGCGTGTGTGCGTGTGTGCGTGTGTGCGTGTGTGCGTGTGTGCGTGTGTGCGTGTGTGCGTGTGTGCGTGTGTGCGTGTGTGCGTGTGTGCGTGTGTGCGTGTGTGCGTGTGTGTGTGTGTGTGTGCATGGAGACCCCCTTTTTCATTCGCCTCGCCCCACATTCGGCACGGGAGCGCTACATCACATCTACTGGCGGAGGCCCGCGCAGCTGTCTCGGATCGGCCAGCGGGCACCCCCCCGGGCGCGCGGAGCGCGTCCGGGGCAGCAGCGGAGGCGCCGCCAGGGGGCCAGCGCGGAGCCAACAAATCCGCATGGAGCTGCGAAAGTTTTTGTCTGTGAGGTTGCCGTTTCTGCTTCTTCTCGAGGGTGGATAGACCTCCTACCCTGACACGTCGATTAAGCAATTGGCCGTTTTCGGTTCGCGAGAGGGCGTCGCGGCCGTCGTTTTTGCGGGTCCAGGTCCGTCGGTTTCGGTCTTGGACCGTTCTCACGAAAGGGAGGTTTGCTATAGGGAGGTTTGTCCACCGCCGATATTTTTCTTCTTCCGCATATTTCCCAGCAGCCCTTCCTCGTCCCGCTCCCAGTCTCCCGTCCCCTTCCCTACTCCCTTGGTTGAACACCTTGGGAGGCTGGATTCAGAGTCGGCGTTGGTGTGTCCGTGTTCGCGAATCCGGCGTTTTGCCGCTAGACTTGGCGACATGCGCCGAATCCGGCTAAGTCCTATGTGCATTAGGGTGTGAATTTGGTTCAATGATCGGGCTGAAGCTCCTTCAGACATTAACACGAAGACCTCCCAGGAGTTTCTTCCGAATGTATGATGGCGATTGAGAAATGCCCGGGGTGCCGTCACGCAGCAGCGCTTAGATCGACGATTGGTACATTTGGCTTGGGTTTTGGGTCTGCACGTGGGCGCCAACATCCACCATGTTCCCCCATGTTCTAAAACTAAATACTCCCGTTTCTGTTAATCGTCATCATCCTGCGCTGACCCCTCTCCCATCCCTTGTCCCCCTCTCCCAGCGGTCCATACTGAAACGCTGGGTATACGACTCTTCTCTCTCCCCTGATCATTTTAAGAAGATAGTCGGCCCTCTCCGCGTGCTGCTGTTTACACCAGATGTCAAAAGTTGTAGTTTCTTTGGTTGCTTTACCATCTGATTGCTTCGGTCCTTGAAAGTGGTGCTGCTCCCGCTGCAGCGTGGGCCTTATTTTCGGATCGGTGTTTTCCTTCCGTAGTTCAGAATGGCGCTCTCGCCCCAGAGCGGGCCAATTTTCTGAATCCGAGTCTTTCTTCATCGTTGTCGCCCCACCCAAGTCCACTCCTTCGCCTTCCCCTGGTCCTCCTGTTCCTCCCGCTCCTTCCAGTCGAGTGCCTGCTGCTGTTGGTCGTTCTCGTCCTTTTCCTCTCGCGTATCCTCCTGCTCACCCGCCACCTCCTCCTCCTCCTCCTCCTCCGCCTCCTCCTCCTATGCGCGCAGCTCCCCTACACAATGCCGTTTTTTATTGAAGATGCAGCTCGGCTGTGACACGCGTCCGCGGATAGAGAAAAGTCAGCGCAGTCGGAGGGGACGGACGGGAGGCGCGAGCGCACCTAGCTTGCCCCTCCCCCCCCCCCCTCTTTGCCCCCCCCCTTGTCCACCCCCTGCTCTTGCCGCCCAGCATCCCCTCTGTGCCTCTTGCTCTCTGCGCCTCCGCCTGCTGGTCTGGCCCCCGCTCTCCCTGTCCCTCTACAGGGGGAATATTCAAAAATAGTCCAGACATCGCATGGGGACGATTTAAAAAAAAAACTGCTTTTGATGATTGTCCCCCCCTTCGCCTCCGCCTGCTGCTCCGGCCCCCAGTCCCCCCCCCTTCGTGCCTCCACAGCCGAGGCTCCGAAGTGCCACTCGTGCTCTGGGGCTCGGAGTGGGGCTTTTCGGCTGCCGGGCCGCTCCGCACGGCGCAGGGATCGGGGAGAGCAGGCTCGTCGCCGAAGCTCGCCGTGACCCGAAGAGCCAGTGCACTTCTTCCCCTTCGGTCTCGAGAGCCTCGATCGGGGGAGCGTAAGACCCGGGTTTGCCGGGACTCGGGTTCGCCATCGTTTTTTGACGACCGCGACTCGGATTTTGACGAGGAGGAGTTTCGTGGGATGTCTGCAGCGGGAGGCCTCGTCAAAATGCAGGCTCGGCCTCGTCATTTTTTTGACGACCTCGTCGGGGATTTCCGAGTCCCCCGTACCCGGGTCTTACGTCTCCCCGACTCGAGACGGGGGTCAGTGCAGGCGGGGGTCAGCCAGGGCGCCGGATCCTGCAGGATCCTGCGAAGACCCCCTCTGGCTGACCCGGGTTGGCGAGCCGCTCGTGGCCGCGAGGCGGCCGCGCCTATTGGCTGACCCGGGTTTGCGAAGACCTGCGTTGCAGTTTTTTTTTTGTTGCCTGCATTGCAGTTTTTGGTTTCCTGCTGACCCGGGTCTGGATTGACCCGGGTCAGAAGATCCCCGACGGTTGTTGAAAGTGCGTATTCGTGGAGTCCCAGATCCCAATCTATTGCAAACGCCTTCCTACTTCAATGATCGAGTGGCTTCACCCTCTCCGTCCTCTTTGGGAGGCGGGCGGACACCCAATGTACGTTCAACGCCTTCCTACGTCACGTTGCTGCCTTTTTCTTCCGGCCGATCTGTATTCAACGATCCTTCTGGTAGCACGATGACTGTAACCTCCTGGAGGTCCGCGCAGATATATTGGACCGGAGCCTCTGTCGCCGACTTGAGAAGTCCGCGCGGATCTGGGGATGGCTTTGCTTATGGTAGGTTCGCATCATGTCGACCAGCGGCGACCCCACCGCTGCCGTTCAACGTTGCACGTTGCCAGCGACCCAGAATCCGTCGATGCCGAACGATCTGACGTTTCCGGAGCGGCTGATCGTTCAAGGTTGAACGATCCCCGCGATGTCAGGAACCGACGCTGGGGTCGACACGACGCGAACCGGCTGTGTACCGCGTCCTCCTCTCATGGTGATAGCACCCGTGCGCGGCGCTGCTCTCCATTGCGTGAAGTCCGCGGGCCTTGAGGGCAACGGGCTTTCGGCCTTGGAGGATCCCCCAGGGGCTTTGGGCTTGCCTTTGCTTATGAGGGAAATCATGGAGGCCTCGCGCGGCACGCAAATGCTGTATTATCTAGGCCACGTCTCCGCTGCGTAGGAGCTGGGTCGACGTTCTCGCGGCGATGCTCGGGCGTACAATTCCAATGTAAATCCGACGTAAATTCGACGTACATTGGGTTTCAAGTTTCCGCGCGAGGCCTCAAGGATGTTCCTCCTAATTTTGTCGACTGCGCGTGCGAGTGGCCATTCGCCCGTGGGACGTTTGGCGCGGGCCCACGGAGCTGCCCCGATCGCCGACCGCGGCGCGATGGAGAGGCGGCCTGTCTGGCTCGTGCGCCTGGGCCTGCCCTCGCCCCGCAGGCCGCGCACCGAAGGTCGCTCTTGCCGAGGACCACTCCTGCGTTGATCCGAGGTTCCATCCCGAGCCGTTCTCGGATGGCCCTCGGGCTCGGGGAGGGCCCCGAAGGCGGCGTCGGAGACTCTGAGTACCTGGTTCCCCTCGGGATCTGGAGACGGCCGGGAGGCAGAGGTGAGGCATCAGCGGTGCCAGCGCAACAGTCAGGAGGGAAAAACACACACAGACAGACAGACACAACGAATCGTCGATTCCCCAGAAAGTATCGGAAAATATGGGCAGTGGGGGGGGGGGAGACAGAAACCCAACAAATACAGGAAAATATGGGGGATGATTTGATTTGTGTGTATTGATTTGTGTGTCCTGGGGCCTCTTCAAACAGGGGGGGCAGGGAGGGGGGCATAGGCACATCTGTACACAATGGTGTCGAAGGCGCCTACGGCAAGTCACCGCCGCCCCACTGCTTTTTTTTGGAGCCGCCCACGCGGCCGAGCGCCGTGGCAGGAGCCGGAGCTCCGCCAAGCTATCGGGCCCTGCGTTCCCCCAGCCGTTGTGGAAACGCGTCGGGGAACACTCGGGGGAGGATGGCGGGGAAGATCAGGGCTAGGATCGGGATAAATCGCTCCAGAGCGTTTCGGAGCGCTCTCAGAGCGTTCCGGGACGCTCTGGAGCGGCCGCGGCGCCCAATACATCATCCAAACCCGCCGATTCTCAGAGATTTCGAGTTATCCCGATCCGATTTTGTCCCGATCTTCGCGTCGTTCTAGCGGGGAAGATCAGGGGAGGAAAAGGAGGGGGCGTCTTGGGAGCCTCTGGGGGGCACTCTTGGGTGATCCTGGGAGCGTCCTGGGGGCCTCCCAGGGGCATCTTGGGGTCCTCCTTGGGCCTCTTGGGGGCCTTGGGAGGCTTCTCGGGGGCCTCTTTGGCCGTCTTGGGGCATTCCTGGCCCGGTTGACGCCGTCAGAAGCCGTCATGGGGGCTTCTCTGGGCCGATTTAGGGCCCTCTTCGCGTACTCCAGGGCAGTATTGGAGGCCATCTGGGGCGTCTTGGAGGCCTCTTGGGCCGTCTTCGGGCACTCTTGGGGCCGTCTTGCGGGCCTCTTGGGCCGCTCTGGGGCCCTCTTGGAGGCCTCGCGGGCGTTAATGGGACGATCTTGGGGGGCTCTTGGGCCGTATCGGGCCATCGGAAGGTCGAAAAGAAGCAATGCCAAAATCTTTGAGAAACCATACAGACAATAAAAATGTTGGCCTCTTCTGGCCTTCCTGGAGGACCTCTTGGAGGCCTCTTGGGCCATCTTAGAGACCTATTGGGGGCCTCTTGGGCCATCTTACAGCCATCTTGGGCCGTCTTGGTGGGCTCCTGGCCCGTCTGACGCCGTCGGAAGCTTTCTTGAGGGCCTCTCTGGGCCGACTTAGGGCTCTCTTGGCGTACTCCAGGGCAGTCTTGGAGGCATCTGGGGCGTCTTGGAGCCACCTTGGGCCGTCTTGGGGCCCTCTTGGGGCCGTCTTGGGGGGCCTCTTGGGCCGCTCTGGGGCCATCTTGGACCCTCTTGGGCAATCTTGGGGCGATCTTTGGGGGCTCTTGGGCCGTCTCGGGGCGTCGGAAGACAGAAAATAAGCAAATGCCACAATCTTTCAAAACATATGGAGACTTAGAAATGTTGGCCTCTTCGGGCCTTCCTGGAGGACCTCTTGGAGGCCTCTTGGGCCGTCTTGGAGTCCTCTGGGGGGCCTGTGAGGCCGTCTTTGCCTGTCCAGGAGGTTTTTTTGGGTGGACTTGGAGGTATCTTGGACCCTCTTGGGCCATCTTGGACCTTCTTGGGCGAGCTTGGAAGCCATCTTGCGCTCTTGGAGGGCATCTTCTTGAGGATGTGTTTGCGGACGTTGAGGTCGATCGGAGACCATGCCGAGCCGTCTTGGTGGATTTGTTCTGGACTTTGAGGTCGTTTCTGAGCCTTCTGCGGGGCCAGCTCTCTGGGCCGAAGCCCCAGGGAGAGTTCGTTTGGAAAAGAACCAAAACCACAGACCGTAGGATCTAGCACGCCGGGCACCCCTGTGGCAAGCCAACAGGGGGCGTCGGATGACGGAAAGCGCGCGTAGCGCTGCAATCCGTTAGTTGGGAGAAATATCAAGGGGGGCGTGGGGTGTTGGCAAACACGGGATCGGATCTTATGGCCCAAATGTATACAATTTTCGGCCCAAGACGGCCCAAGTCAGCCCCAAGAGCGCCGAAGAGGCCCCCAAGACGGCCCAAGACAACCCCAAAAGCGCCCAAGGTATTTCAAGACGGCGACGGAGAGGTCCAAGAGGGCCCGAAGACGGCCCAAGAGCGTTCAAAGATGGCCCCATATGGTTTCAAGACGGCCAAGAGGCCAGGCCCCCAAGTCGCCCCAAGAGGCCCCCAAAGGGGACCCCCAAGAGGTAAAAAGTGTTTCATTCCCTCAGGAAAGCGTATAAACTTCTCCGCTTCTTTGGTTTTCACCGCGTCCAAAACAGCCCAGGAGGCCCCCAAGACCGCCCCAAGACGGCCCCAGAGACCCCCAAGACGGCCCAAGTGGGCGTCAAGACGGCCCAAGAGAGCCCCAAGACGAGCCAAGAGAGGCCCCTGAGGGTCCCGAAAGGTTCCCAAAATTGCCCCAAGAGGGCCACAGGAGGTCCCCAAGAGGACCCAGGAGGGCTCCCAGAGGGCCCCAAGACGGTCCAAGCCCGCCAAGACGGCCCAAGAGGGTCCCGGGAAGGCCCAAAAGGGCCCCAAGACGAGCCAAAAGAGCCCCCAACGGACCCCGAGGAAGGTCCGGAAATGCAATGTTGATATTGATGTTCGCAAGATTGGTTGCTAGATTTTGTTATGTCGTGCCGAAACCTTACTACCAACAGGGCTCCAAGACACTAAGCCAGCCACCTCGCGCCCTCACAAAATAAGCGCGGTTTCCGTCCCCATGCCAAGCAGGGTACATCCCGCCACCGTACTTGGACTGGGTATGAAGCCTATTGAATGTTCGTTGGGATCTCGTGAGAGGCCTCTCAGGGGCCTCTTGAACGGAATTTGGATGCATCTTGGGGGCCTCTTGGGGGCCTCGTGGGGACTCCTGGACGCCTCCTGGGGCCTCCTGGGGGCCTCCTGGGGGCCTCCTGGGGCGGAAGGCTCGGATTTTCGGTTCGTGCTCCCTATCTTGGGCCCCTCTTGGGGCCCTCTTGGGCCGTTTTGGGCGCCACTTGGGCCGTTTTGTGCGCCTCCTGGGCCGTCGTGGAGCCCTCTTGGGCCGTTTTGGGGCCCTCGCGCACAGCGCGTCCTTGCATGCTTTTGTTGTCAGCCAGGGCCGCCACGCGCGCGGCGGCTGCCACCGCCTTGGGCCGTGCGCCTCCACACAGAATGGGCATGGCCGCCGCGCGCGCGCGCGGCCCGCAGCCCCCTGCATGGCGTTTTCTATTGCAAGATGGACCATGGCCGCCGCGCGCGGCGGCCCCCACCCCCTGTGCGTTGCGTTTTTCTCACAGGATGGGCCATTGGCTGCGCGCGCGCGGCCCCCTCCCCCCCCTGCACGGCGTAATTATGGAGTCTTACAGAGAACAGTGGGTCAGAGCCCCCGCGCGTGCGGCGGCCCCTACCTTCTTGCGCCATGTTCTTCTAAGCAAAATGGGCCATGGGCTGCGCGCGCGCGTCACCCCCACCCCCGCGCAGTGCTTCTCTCCCAATGCGGGATAGGCTAGGGCCGCCCCCCATCGGCTCGATCGCAAAGAGAGGAGCGAGGCGCCTGACGGGTCTGATCTTATCATTTGATGTTTGTCCGTCCTCCCCCAGATGTCCCCAGACGTCACTGAAGGTCTGAATGTCCCCTCTACACCTCCAGAGGCCCCTGGGTGCCCCAAGAAGGGCCCCAAAAGCCCCAAAGCCCAGGCCCTCGTTCTCCAATCTCCGTCGACCCCTAAAAGCATCCCCAAGCGCTCAACAAAAACGTGGATCCTCTATCATCGTCGACGACGACGACGACCCGTGCTCCCTCCCCCTCCCGCCGGCGGCTACACGTGAGAGAGACCCTCTGCCAGCGTGGCCCGTGGCGCGCGGCCTTCGGGAGGGGGCGCGCGGGGGTGGGTGGTGGGCAGGCCCGAGCGCGCAGGACGCCGCCGTCGCATCGCAGCCGCCAGAGGTCTCGCTCGCCCGGGGCCGCTACCCTGGCCCTCCCAGGATCGTTTTCTTATTCGTTGTTTCGCCGATCGGCGCGGGTCCTCGCACCCCCCCCCCCTCTTCCCCCCTCCATGGAGGAGATCTTGGCTGTTTTGGGCGCCTGTTTCGAGCAGGTGGAGCTTCCCCCGCAGGACGCACTGCTGCAAACAGTCGCGCTGAGCAGATGTCCGTACAGTCGGGGCCCTGAAGAAGGAACATTTTTGGTTGGGGAGGGGCTCCGCGTTCCTGAGGTGTTTCACAGCTTGCCTCGGGCTTTCCTCATGTTGTTCGATAGGAAATATCGAAGGTTAACCTATGGAAACAAGGGGCCTCGTTCCTGATTTAGGGTTCCTTAGGTCAACGCCCCGACTGTAGCCCTCCCAGATGGGGTCCGAGTAGATGGGGTCGAAGGATCGCGCCGCACCGCCAGTGCATGGCCGGTGCGTCTCGGTGTGGAGCCCGAGGTGCTTCACGCCGACGTCGCCGATGCATCGCCCACGTCGACGAGGCATCGCGGGTGCACCGCCCATACGTCGCCAATGCATCGCCGATGTATCGGCGATGCGGCGCGGTCCTCCGACCCCATCTATTTCGAGTCCTCTAGCTACTGCGTGTGGTCGACTCTGGCCCAGGTCATATGTCGGGAGCTGTACACCTGCTTTCGATCCAGGCTGGTGGGCGCCCCCCCCCCCGCGCCGACCCGCCGCCGCTGGGGTGGTGATGCCCAGGCTGCCCTCTGTCTCCAGGGCTTTCGCCGCCGATCCCCTCGAGGGCGCAGGATGTTTGGGCATGAAGGAAGGATTGAGCTTCGCAAGTTTGCGGAAGTTTTCTGGAGTTGTCGCTGGTTTCGAAGAGGGCAAAATGCCATAAACATCAACTTATGGCGCTCCGCGCGGATTTCTTGGATCTGTGCTGGGGCGCCCTGGCGGCGCCTCCGGCGCCGCCCCTGGCGCGCTCCGCGCGCCGGGGAGGGGGGTCCAGCGCAGATCCAAGAAATGCACGCAACAACAACAACAACAACAACAACAACAACAACAACAACAACAACAACAACAACAATCACTTTACCCGAACGCTCAGTGTTCTCACCAGTGCCAGGGTTTTCATGCGACGCCAGCCAATACCCCCACTTTGTGGGGGGGCAGTGCAAGCTCTACCAAATATCCACACGACTCTTCGCCACCACCCACACCCAGCTTCCCGCCCTATGACGTTCGGACACTTCACTTCGTGGCCTGCGGACGACCGTGGCTACTACACTGGCGTGGAGTACACACCCACAGAAGTTGTTAAGCCTACGTTCGTACACCCACAGAAGTTGTTAAGCCTTGTTAACCCACAGAAGTTGTTAAGCCTTCCACAGAACATCTGTTGCATATGATGCATATGGTTTTTTTAGGATTCGGACAGCGCGCGCGGGTAGAAATTTTGAAAAGTCGTGCAGGTGTTTTTCGAGGACCTACGGTGCGATTCGTGTGATTTTATGATGCGCGGTGCTAAAATTCTTAAGAAGCCCAATGGTTTTTGGAGATTTCGGCGTGCGCGCGCGAAGAAAAAACGAATGTGTCCCGCATGGTATTATTTGACAGGGATGATGGCCCTGGCAGGTGCGCAACCGTTGTCGCAGAAGTTCGAAAAAGTTGCTCGCAAAAGCCCGTTTGACAGAAATGTTTAAAAAGTGTTGGGTTTCCTACGAATCCGCAAGAGCGCGCGGGATGAGATTTTGACAGTTTTTTGTTGAAAAACCATTGGTTTTTTGATGTTTTTATGTTAAAATCGCTGCGAACACTAAGGTTTTGGAAGGATTTCGTCTTGCGCGCGCGAATGTCCACTTTACCTTATTTTTTGCAAGGGATTCTTGAAATTTGATTATATTAGAACAAGAAATGTCATTTTATAGTGTTTTTTGCAAGGGAAAGCGGGGGGGAACAAAACAACCGGATCTTGATCACATCGAATTACCTGAGGCTTCCTCACGAAAATGATGAAAATGTAGCTGCGGCCTAGGCGGCGCAGGGGGGCCGTGCACCAGGGGCCCCAACAATAATTATTCTTTAGAATTAATAATGTTCAACAAAGAGCCGCGCCCAGACGGCGCATCGGCAGGAAATGTGCACATGCATATGTGGAAAATGTCACTGGGCCTCGGCCGGCAACCACTTGCAAGCTTTGCGCAAATGGCGCGCGAGGGTAAGCAGCAACACTCCGTCTGAAGAGGGTGGGGGGGGCGGGGAGGGGACAGGGAGGAGGGAGGCGCAAGGGCAGAGCGAGGGAACTCATCGCAGTCACACTGACTGTTTACAATACTCTTTGACAGCTGCATCCCATTCCCTTGGAGGAGAATTCAATAAAATCTGCAGGCGGTCGGGGTCGTCTCCTGCGACTCTCAGCGCGCGGGCGTGCATGTAACTGGTTCATTGCAAGCGCGGTCTGCCTCGATTCTTCAGGGACCGCCATTCCCGTGGCATTAAGGAGTGCGCCTCGCCTGGCTGGAACACCATTGTTTTCGGCAACGATTGCGAAAGTGCGCTTGCTAATTTACCGTAATATTCAAGCTGCCTCTCCAATAATATAATTGACAATGGAGGAGATTGTGCTTCGAGCAGGACACGCTGATTGCTGAAGAAAAATAGGAATGCCGGTTGGATCTTCAGTACTCTGCGGTAGCATTTGGCTTGAAATCCATCCAGTCTGTTCTTGTCTGCTTGCAATTATACACAAGATTCCAATCCGTACAATAATTTGGAGAAGACGCAGGCTTGCAGTACAAGAAATGCACGCGGAGCGCCACAAAGTACGTTTATGGCGTTGTTTCTTCTTCTAGTTGGACTGCCCGCGCTGGGATGCTTTCCAGCAGCTGCGCCGTGCCGAGAGCGCTCTGGAGATACGTACGCAAGGGGGCCGAGGAGGAGGAGTGGGAGGAGGAGGAGGAGGAGGAGGAGGAGAAGGGAGTCGTCCCGAACAAAACGCCTCAGACCCATGTCGGGGTCCGAGGGTCGACGGCTTTTATGAGCTCTTGTTCTTTCGGGGAGGGGGGCTCCTCGTCGCCGTCCCCGGGACGCACCGCGGCGTCGCAGGGGCCGGGGCCGTGCAGGGCCCATCTCTCGGGAGCCTCGCGACGGGGGTCAGTGCAAACCGGGGTCAGCCAGAGCGCCGGATCTTGCAGGATCCTGCATGGCCAGGGTCGCATTGACCCGGGCTTGGGTGCAGGGTCCTGCAGGATCTTGCAGGATCCTTCGCATCGACCCAGGTTTGGGTGCAGGATGTTGCAGGATTCTGCAAGGCCTGGCTGACCCGGGTCTTGAGTGACCCGGGCCAGCAGGTCTCCGAATCTCGATCCGATCGATCCGATTGGCTGCCGACTTCTGTCCGTTCGCCTCGATCTCGAGAGCCCCGCGATCCGGTGCGGCCCGAAGCTCGGGTGGCGTTGTTGCGCATCTGGGCGCCACGGGCTCGATGCGATCTCGACTCCTGGCCGATGCGGCCCAATTCGACGATGCTCGGTCCGATCCGGTCCGATTTCCCGATTCGATGCTGATTGTTCCTACGCGTTGCTGCGATACCTGTCGCGGTGTTGCGGGGTCCCCCTGGCACTGGTGAGGGTGGTGGAACGGGGAGAACACGTAACCTGACAAATAGCTCGGTATTGTGATGCTTGTTGCGGTCTGGTGGGGCTTCCTTGAAGAGCCAGATGGCGCTGCCGACGCTGAATGGGGAACCGAGTAGGGAGGGCATGAAGTTTGATTAACAACAGTGCTGCGATACCTGCCGACTCTGGGGTGGCCTCCCTGGAGGGACAGACGGCCTTGGTGAGGGTGGTCCAATGGGGAGGGCACGACACCCGAGAAACAAGCCGATACTGCGATGCCGATGGCGGCTTGGCAAGGACTCCCTGGATGGCCTGATGAGGCTGGTGGAGTGGGGAGGGCACAAAACTCGACAAGCAGGCGGCGCGCGTGCCTTGGCTGGTGGCACGATCAGGTAGCGAGGGGGCTGGAGCCAGTGTTTAGGGCAGGAGGGACGGACGACGGCCACCTTCAAGACTTTTCCAGGGCTCCGGGCGCCAGGTGGAGCGCGAGGGTGATGGGGCCACCACGGGGAGGCCAGGGGAGGGGGGACGCACGGCGAGCGCCAGAACGAAACAAAGGGCTCGGGGGGCAAACATGCAGGGCTCCGCGGCCCAGGGAATGAGGCCGGGAAGGCCAGGAGCTGGCTCCGCAGCCCAAAGAGGGAGGATGCGAACAAGGGGAGGCCAGAGAGACCATGCGTGCAGCCTGCGGCCCAGAGGGGAGGAGGCCAGTGAGGGGAGGGCGAACCGCGCCCCACGGCGAAAATCACGGGTTCCGTGGCCCACGTGGGCGAGGCCCAGAACACCAGGTGCGGATTCCGCGGCCCAGAGGAGGGGGGCCAGCCAGGCCATGGAGGGGACGAACCATTCTTCCTCCTCCCCCTCCTCCCTCTCCCCCCCCTCCTTCTCCTCCTCCTCCTCCTCCTCCTCCTCCTCCTCCTCCTCATTCTCCTTCTCCTCCCCCTCCCCCTCCCCCTCCCCCTCCTCCGCCCGACGAAACTGGAAAGGCTCTGCGGCCCAGGGGGGGAGGACGAAGCACGACCACGACGAAAATGCAAAAGGCTCCGCGGCCCAGGGGGGCGAGGCCGAGAAGACCAGGGGGAGAGGCCAGGGAGACCGAGGACCGCTTCCGCGGCCCAGCCAGGGAGAAGGCCGGGGAGTCTCGAGCACAGCTGTGCAGGAGAACGACGAGACCTGAGAGACAACACGGCACACTGCGATGCATTCCGCGGTCGGGCGGGGCCTCCCCGGAGGGCCTGGTGGACCTTGCGAGGCCGGTGGAGCGGGGAGGATCAGCGGCACGGTGCTGAGACACCCGCCGCGGTCTGGCGCGGCAGCCCCGGGAGAGCCCGGCGGCGCCCGCGGGGGTGCTGGAACGGGGAGGGCACGGCACGGGTCTGGGCCTAGGTCGGGCCTGTCCCTCTACCGGGGGGAATATTCAAAAATAGTCAAAAAATAGTCTGGGGACGATTTTCTTCTTTCATGCATTTCAGTTTTTTAAATTTTTCGTCGAACATCCCCCTGTAGGGGGACACGCCCGACTTAAGTCTAGGCTCCCTGGATGGGGTCGGAGTAGATGGGATCGGAGGATCGCGCCGCATCGCCGATGTATCGACGATGCGGCTCGATGTGGAGCCCGTGCTTCCCCACGTGGACGTCGCCGATGCATCGCCGACGTCGCCGATGCATCGGCGGTGCGGCGCGATCCTTCGACCCCATCTATTCGGACCCCATCTAGGAGGTACTTCCCTGGGGCCGGCGTTGCGTCCTGATTCGTTTTTTGGCGGTCCCGGGACGCGGCGAGGGCCCCCGGAGGCCGGAGACAGCCAATCGCCCGTTCCAATGTCTGTTGGAGCGTCGGATGTCTGGGGAGTGGAGAGGGCACGGACCCTGACAGATAAGGAAGGTCTTGCGATGCCCGCCGCGGCCAGGTAACCTGGCGATGCTGGTGGAGTGGGGAGAGTACGAAGCCTGACCGGCAGAACTCGGTACTGCAATGCCTGCCGCGATCTGGAGGGGCCTCCTTAGAGGGTGGTGGCTCGGGAGGGCACGAAATTTGGTAGATCAGACGGCGCTGCGATGCCTGCCGCGGTCTGGCAAGGCCTCCCTGCAGAGCCAGATGGCACTCGTGAGGGTGGTTGAGTGGGAAGGGCACGACGAAGCCTAATAGATGACAGGATATTGTGATGCCTGTCGCCGTCCGGCGGGGTCTCCGTGGAGGGTCAGATGACACTGGAGAGGCTGGTTGAACAGGGAGGGCACGAAAGGAGGAGGAGGATGATGAGTTAGGGGAGGAAGAGGAATAAGAGACGGAGAAAAAAGAAGGAAAGAAGAAGGAAAGAGGGAGTCATGAGGCAGAGGATGTCTTGGGAAAACGTGAACCTCGTTCAGGATGTGAGGAGCCGAGATCCTCCTAATGTGTTTTCGCCTTCACTAGCCTTGCCCTCACGCTTCGCCGCTCCTTCCACATCAGGTGTCCTCCCTCACGCTCACCTCCATCCCCCGCCCCCCCGCCCCCCCCCACACACACACACACACACACACACACACACAACACACACACACACACACACACACACACACACACACACACACACACACACACACACACACCACACACACACACCACACACACACACACACACACACAAACACAACACACACACACACACACACACACACACACACACACACACACACACACACACACACACACACACACGCAGCGCGCACACACCCACACACACACACTCCTCAATGTTCCATCCTCCTGCTCTTCCGTTTCTCCTCATCTTCGTCCTCATCCACCTCAATTCTTCTCTATCCTCATCCATCTCCTACCCATCCTTTATTCTGCATGCCCTTCAGCCATGTTCCCAACACGCTCTGCCCTCTGTCCCCCATCCTGCATCCTGCGTCTTCGTCGTCGTCCTCCGCCTTCTCCTCCATCGAACACCACGGGACTTCGTCGCTTCAGGTGGCAGCAAAGAAGTCAGCCGGTCTTCTATCGAGAGATCAGGAAAAGGAGGCTGTTGCGCGCGGTCGTCTGGGAAAGGGGACAGGCCTCCCGCGCGCAGGTCGAGCTTCCCGCCTGCGGACAGATGCAAGAGCTCAGCAAGGCTCGTCGAGGGGTGGGCCGCGGGTGGGCTGGCGGGTTTGGCTTCTCGTGTCCCCTCCTGTCGTCCCCCTCCTGCTCCTTCTCCTCCCGCTCAGCATCCCCATTATCCCTTTTCAACCCCCTCTCGCTTTCTCTCTCTCTCTCTCTCTCTCTTTGTTTCCTCTCTCTCTCTCTCTCTATTCCTCTTCCTGTACTTTGACAAGCCCGGACAGGGGGAAAACCCGTCACCCCCCCCCAAAAAAAAAGCGGATTCCCGGGATCTGGGGCTTTGGGATCCTCCGGACGGGCCTCGAAGCGGATCCCCGGGCCTCGCAGGGCGTTTTGCCAAGCCTTCCCAGCACACCCAGGTCGATCAGGGGGGTCATCGGAGACGTCCCAGAGACCCAGGACAGCACAAGAGCGCTCCAAGAGTGACCGACGTGACCTCAAGATGGCCCAAGAGGCCTCCAGGACGGCCCCAAAGAGCACTCCCAAGAAGGCTCCAAGAGGCACAATTCATTGATTTCCTAGTTGTTTTTGGTGATTTGGGCGGTTCTCGTTTCGGCTTCCCGACGCTCCAAGACGGCGGTCCTCTGGGCGTCCGAAGCCGCCTGGGAGGCTCCAAAATCGCCCCACAACCATCCGAAAGCGCTTCCAGGCAGTCCAAGAGAGCCCCAGAACAGCACAACACGGGTCCAAGATGGCTTTCAGAGAGCCCCAAGACACCCTCCGAAGCATTCCAAATCGTGACCCGGTCGTGCAGGGAGACCGCGGTTGGAGGCAGGGTGGCCCGAGGAAGCCCCCAGAGGCCCCCAGAATACGCCCAGGAGGCCTCCAGAAGGCCGTATAAGAAAGCCTGACACAATTTTTGTGAGGCACCCAGAGGCTCTCCAAGGAGGAGCCTCCGCAAAAAAGAGCTGAGGAGGATGGGGGGAATGCGCAGGGTAGGGCGAAAAAGAGGAAAAATGAGCATGGAGGAAAGATAGCGAATAACATTGCTATAGCGACGATGCCGGAAAAAGCAACAAGGAATTATCGCTAAGTTGTCGGCATGACCTTCCTGCTATTCCGCCTCCATGCCACACTTCAAGGACCAAGGTGCATGGCGCGAAGCGCCCATGAAGTCTTGTATCTATATATATATATATATATATATAATATATATATATAAATATATATATATATATATATATATATATATACATACATGTATAGATACATGTATAGACACACACAGGTATATAGAGACACGTGTGTTGATCTACCCCCTTTCCGATCCTCTTCGCCTTCCCCTCCCCTCGCCTCCACATCCTCCTCTTCCCACCCCCCGCGCCCCCTCCCCCTCCTCCCCGACGTGACCTTCTGCCTTTTTGCGGCCACTCTGCAGGCGATGCCGAGGACGGCTGTCATCCCAGACCCTGTGCCCCGAAGACCCCACCCGTATTCGGGCAGAGGCGAGTTCCCGATTCACCAGACAGGGGCTATTCCACCATGTCACTCCGCTCGACGGCCCGTTCTAGCCCCCCACATCCCCCCACGCGCGCCGAGCCCACTCCGAACGCGATCCAGTCTCCCCACGCCCAGCGCTGGACCGTCTCCTTCGCGACCCCCCCGACGCACGCGCACCAGCCCCCCACGCGCGCATGGAGCAGCCCGGAGTCCTCTCGGCCCTGCTGTTCGGATGTACGGCCAGGAGGTCCTCACCTGCTGCGCCCTGGCCCCATGGCGTGCCAAGTGGACCCACCCTGCAGTCAACCCGCACAGGAAGGATGGGCACCCTGCCTAAGGGTGCCCTTGCCTCCTTCTCCTTGCCTCCTCGGCCCATCCTTGGCGACCTTCGCCGGGCAACCTCGTTCGAAGCTCGCTGCCTTGGCCCTCCAAGGCCCCTTGCATCCTTACCGGGCATCCTTATGATGCGGGCTGGTTGCGCCAGCTCTGGCGCTGCAGATGGGGGGCACTTGGCGACGTCGGCGCGAGCCTCGGCATCCAGATCGAGTGCGCACGCCAAGTTCCACTGCCTCTGGCTGGCGGGGCTTCGAGTCGCCAGGAGGGCCCCGGCCTCCTTCCTCATGATCAGCTCTCGTCTCGGCCTCACTGCCCGCGCAGGCTGCTCGCAGGACGCCGTTGACGTTCGCCGGACCGTCCACCGCCAGCGGTGCAACCGCCTCGCCGGGGCACAGGCCCACGTCCCGCCCACCCACTTCCCACCCACCAGCATCAAGGTTATGTGCGGTTATTGACGCTTCGTGTACCCCCACAAATTTGCTTCCCGCTTTTCGCTGCCTAGTCGTGGCCCGGCTGGAGTTTGGACGCCTTTTGACCCGCTTCACGAGGCCGTTGACCAAAAAGTACCCCCACAAGCGCCGACGGCACCCCTTCCGTGAGCGCCGCGCGGCCCGCCCCGGCTAGCCTCACCTCCCGCTGTTCTTTTGTTGTCCCTCCTCTCCTCTCTCTTTCTCGTGTGCAATTTAGGCTCCTGCTGGTTAGCTGTATGTAGCTTTGGACGGCGCGCGGCCCTTCCCGCTTGCGCTCGCGATCGAAAAAGATACCCCCACAAGCCCAGCCAGAAATGCCCGGGCAAGCTGTCGGGAGAACGGAAGACGATAAGAGCACACAGTGAAGTAAAGTGGCCGACAATGGTGGCATCGAGTACCTCTTGGAGACTTCTTGGGTCTTGGAGCCACCTTGAAGCTCTCTTTGGGCCCCTGCGACCCTCTTTGGGCCATCTTGGGGGCCACCGAAGAAACATTTGGGCGGCCTGAATTAACGCCATACCTGTGGGGCCCGAAAGATTGGCCGTTGGAACCCCTTTGGGAAGCTCTTGAGGCGCTCCTGCATCACGCGCCTACGTCGACACCACGGAATTCCTCCTCCTCCTTCTCCTATTCCTCCTCCGCCTCCTCCTCCTCCTCCTCAAGCACCACTTCAAGGATGGGAGAGCCCATGAGCCCCACCCGATTTCACAGGCATACACCGACTCCCAAGGGCATCAGCAACACACTACGGTCCTCATCTACATCCTCTCCTCCCAACCTTTTTTGTTCCTGCCTCGCCTCGTATGTGTCCAGACACCAGAATCCAGAGGCCACAGCCTCGTCCACCGGGTCTGAGCTGTGCCCGGACGCTTGTCCGCCGAAGGGTCGTCTGTTCGTTCCTCCACTGGGGGTTGCTGAGCCCTCCCCCCGCCGCGAGCTCGCGGCCGCCTCGGAGGCGCAGGGCCGCGTCGCCGGCGTCTTCGGGGGACGGCAGCGCCACTCCGACGAGGCACCGCCGTGCCGAGGGGGGCGAGGCAGGGGCGGCGTTAGGGGGGATAGCAAGGCTCAGGGGGTTCGACATAAATCCGACGTGGCTCCGACGTAGGTTGGGTCCGACGTAGGTTGGGTCCGACCTTGTTTTCTGTTTGGAATTCGTCGACGAAGCGGTGTATATCTGCGCAGCCTTCCGCCAGTTTCCCGACGATGTCGGTGGCCGCATGTCTCCGTACGTTCCCCGTTGCGCAAAGGTGATTGTTTTGCGAAGCAGCGTGCGTCGAAGAAGAAGAAGACGAAGAAGAAACGCTATACACATGGCGGCACCTCCGACGCTGGGACCCCCTGTCGGCGCCCCTGGCGCGCTCCGCGGAGGCTCCGCGCGCCAGGGACGGCGGTCCAGCGCAGATCCAATAAATCCGCGCGGAGCGCCAAAAGTTTATTTGTGTATAGCGTGTTTTCTCCTTCTAAAGTAGCGCGCAATCTTCGACGTCATTGCGACGCGACCAGGTTCGGCCTCAACGCGCGAGGCCTCCAGGATCGCCACGCTGTGGCGCACCCGAGAGAGGCGAGACTCCTCGAAGTCGAAGTTCCGGTGGTGGCTCCTCGCTGCCGCGGGTGGGATTACCCATCGGTCGTTGAAAGTAGGCCTTGCTGGAGTCCCAGATCACAATCTACTTTCAGCGCCTTCCTACTTCAAGGATCGACTGATTCCCTTCTTCCCTCCTCTTCAGGCGGCGGGCGGAAGCCCAATCTACTTCCAACGCCTTCCTATTTCATGTTTCTACCTACTTCTTCCGACCGATGGGTACCCCCCCGAGGCGCTGGTCGGAGGGCACCCCTGGAGACTAGAGGAGCAGTGTGCAGGGATTGTCGTCCTCGTCGTCGTCTTCGTCTGCGTCCCAGACCCCCTCGAGGCATGAACAAAATCACGACGGGAGGTTTTTCGCTACGTTCGGCCCATGGGGGCCCTTGCCGGGCCGTGGGACCGTCAAAAAACGATGCAGAATGAAAAGCCAGTCCCAGGGAATGGGTCGAGACCCCTGGGGGGTCGACGTCACAAAAAGTCATGACGTCGGTGGTCTGCGGTCTTCGCCCTCTCCCTACCCAGAGTTTCTGAAGGTGTGCTCTTGTCGCGGGCCTGCCGAGGGATGTCGCCCCTCTCGGCAGCGTCAGCAAACATCCCCTCGATGGAGGCACCTTCAGATGTTTGCTCTGCTGTTTGTATGCAAACGTATGTGATCTCCCCAGTGACAGGGTCCGCGGGGCAGCGGCAGTGGTTCAGGGGTGATGTGGGGGGAATCAACTCAGGGGTTCGAGGTTTGAGGGTCGGGGTTCGCTCTCCAGAGGTTTTGATCGTTCTGGTGCGCCTTCGTGGCCACGGCTGGATCCGCCTCGAGATTCTGAGCAGAGCGCACCCCAGGAGAGGTCAAGGGATCGATGTTTGGCCCCTGTTTAGGGGCAGCGCTCTGGGGGGACAGGCTCATGGGGAGATGCATCGACCCCCGATCGCCCGTTCATCGCCCACTGGGGCTTGATAGCCTTCCCCGCCAGGGACCGTGCGGAGTAGCTATCAGGAGCCTGTCGCTGATCTATTCGCGATGCATCACTGGTTCCGGCCTGATATTCCCCCCCATTGAGCTGGTCCTTTTCAGGGAGGAAGAAGCTCAAGCAGCTCGCGACATGCAGTCAAAGCCGGATTTAAGGATGAGCCTCGAAAGCAAGGACATTTGCATTCTGCGTCTCTGTTAATGTTTTCGCGTGTTCTGCTTCCTCGGCCCACTGGTACCCTCGACCTGGCACGCTCCAGGGCGCCTCCCATTCTTGAAATTCAATCCCGGATGAGTTTGACTAAACTGAACTGGGTTTACCGAATAGTCCGTCCCCATAAATGGTGCACCGGGTGCCACCAACCTTCCGAACTTTTTGAAGCTCCTGAAGCTCCGCAGAGGCAGAAGCGTCAGAGGCGTCAGGAGCGTTAGACCGAAGCTTCTGAAGCTCTTGAAGCTCCACAGCGTTAGGATCGCCAGACAAGTCAGGAACGTCAGCAGCGTCATGAGCGTCAGGGGCGTCAGGAGCGTCACGAGCGTGGAGGGCGTCGGGAGCGTCAGGAGCGCCGGAAGCGTCTTGGGCGTCGGGCGCGTCGGGGGAGCGTGGACGTGGTGTCGGGGCCCCTGGAAGCCCCGACACCCACTCGGGAGACTCCGACACCACGCGGGAGGCCCCGACACCACGCGGGTGGCCCCGCGATGCTCCGACCTCGCACGTGAGAACCCGACATCATGCGGGAGGCCCAGTTACCAGGCGGGAAGCCTCGACACCGCGCGGGAACCTTGGGGAGACTCCGACACCACGCGGGAGACTCCGACACCACGCGAAGGCCCCGACACCACGCGGGAGGCCCGGACACCATACCAACGTGGGGAGGCCCAGGGAGGCCCCGACATCGCCAGGGAGCTTTTGACACCACGTGGGCTCCCGCATTCGGGGTCTCTCTCGGCATTCCGCTTGGTGGCGTCTCCTGGAGTCCCGACACCCGGCGAACCGAGTATTTTAGCGTGGTGTCGGGGCGTCCTGGGGCCCCGACACCACGCGAACCTTCCGCGTTAGCGTGGTGTCAGAGCCTCCCGTTAGGGGCCTCCAGGGATCTCCTGCGCGGTGTCGGGGCCTCCCGCGTGGTGTCGGAGTCTCCTGGGGCTTCCGCGCAGTGTTTGGGCCTCCCGCGTAATCTCGGGGCTTCCCGTGTGTCGGGGCCTCCCGCCTGTTGTCGGGGCTTCTCACGTGGTGTCGATGTCTCCCGGGGCATTCTGCGTGGTGTCGGGGCCTCCCAGGGCACCGATACCACGCGAATCAATGAAGCTCTCGAAGCTTTAGAAGCCCATGAAGCTTCTGAAGCTTCCGAAGCTTCTGAATATCCTGAGGCTCCTGGAGCTCCTGAAGCTCCTGAAGCTTCGGGAACTCCTGAAGATTCCGAAGCTCCTGAGGCTCCCGAAGCTTCTGAATCTCCTGAAGCTCCTGAGCACCAGAAACGTCAGAAGCGTCGCGAAGCTCCTGGGGCCTGGAGCGTCAGGAGCGTCGGAAGCGTCAAAGGCGCCAAAAGCGTCGGCGGGTTGGCGGCACCGCCCGCCCCATCAATTCCCGTCCCAGTCGATTCCTTGTTCACAGGAGGGCTTTCCGTAGGGCCTCGGTCGTGGGGGTGCCCATACTGAAGGTGGTCGTTGTCTTGCGCTGCATCTCTCTCTCTCTCTCGTTCTTTCTCTCCTTCTCCCTCATTCTCTCACTCTCTCCCTCGTTCTCTCTCTCTCTCTCTCTCTTTCTCTCTTTATCTCTCTCTCTCTCTCTCTCCCTACGTATATCTCTCTATATATATATATAGATATATTCACGTTAGGTCCGGGGAAAACGTAAGACTCGAGTTCGTTGGAACTCGGTTTGACGGCGCTTTTTGGCTGGCCCGTCTCTCGCGTTTGATGGTGGTTTGGGTCTCATTATTTTCGTGACGTCCCCGTCAGGCCAACCCGAGTACGAACCCGAGTCTTACGCCCCCCGCCTTGGAGGGGGGGGAGTGCACAGCGAGAAGGTCAGGCCCCTTCCGTCCTTGCAAGCCGCTGATCGCCGTCGACATCGGCGTCGCTGGCGCCTCCGATTTGCGCATTTTATTGTTCCGGGACCTCCAGAGGCATCCGAGGATCTCCACGGTTTCCACACCTCCACGGACATCAGGGGATCTCGTCCTTCTCCTTCTCCGTATTTATGTTTGCCTGCCCTTCTCGTCTTCACCTCTGCCCCAGGCGTCGACAGACCATGTCAGACAGGCGTGCTGCTGCTTTTTGCATAGATTGATCATAAGAGGGAGGCGAGACTGATTGAGAGGCTTGCAGTTTGCAGCATGGTCTTTGCCGCCAGGGGCGCATAAGCGTGGACCACGAATGAGCGAAAAGACTTCAGGGGCGTAAACATGTGGAGCATGTCTCTGCTGCTGCATATGTTCCAGCGTACCCCTTCATGTATCACCTCGCCTCTGGAACCCACGCTGCCTGACGATTAGTCAATACACTGGGGCAGTGATCCGCCGTATCCAATCCAGCTCGCCAAGCGTCTTGTCGAATGCTGCCCCTCCGCAACCGACCTGTGGCCTGGTATCACTGCCAAGTTGCCTGCGCACACTTTTGCATGGTTTGCGTGTCGTCAGTTCTCTGTCTCGACTCGGCCTGTTGTTTGGGCAACCCAGCGCGAGTCGATCCGAAATACTTCTTCTCGAGCAATGTCGTGAGTGTGGGCTTACTATCCTGAATGTCTTCGTTCACGAATGCTGATCTGTGCAGTCTAAAGTAAGAGCTTGTTGTGCATGTGAGTCCACGGTTGCGTTCCAAATCGCTGCTGGATTCGGGAGGATCGTGCCAGTTGTTGTCAGTTTCAGTTGGGCCTTGTAAGAGAGGAAGGAAGAGAGAGAAGGAGAACGAGAGAAAGAGAAAGAGAGGGAGAGGGCGTGCATTATTCTTTGCTCGTTCATGGCCCCTTGTGCCGCAACTTTCACCATGTCCCATTCAGTGCAAGCATAGGCATACCGTAAATTGTCGCATGGGAGATTTAGTCTCAGGGAGAGCCGGCTGACCCTGTCTGTAGAAGCGGCGTTGGAAATGTTGACCTCGTCTGCGACGCGATCGGTTCGTGCGCTCGCATGCCCACATGCACGCGCGTGACTCGGATATGCAGTGCATAGTCTGAGCATGCATGTGCATATGGCATGTGTGTGCGCTGGCGGTCAGAGGTGTACGTGCAAAACTGCACGCAAGCACTGAAAACTGGATGCGTGCTGCCCTCGGGCAAGCATGTGTCAGTGACTGGTAGTGGGCACTGCGTGGTCCACTTCCAATGCCACCCTCGTGCCAACTGGGTTCCTCACACGGCTCGAGTGCATCAACTGCCGGACGGTAATATCAGAAAGGTATTTCCGGTTCAGTGAACATTCTGAGCGTATAGAATCCCATCCAGATAGCAGGCGTCTAATCAATTGCATGTGTGGTTTTCCCGAGGCTGTTATCACCGATGGTCAGTTATCCATCTGTGGCTTCTATTGGTTCGATGGGCAACGACACGAAGGCCAAGCTGCAGTTTTCTATCTGGCTCACCCCCTGGCGTGTCGGCTTGCCCGCGGTGTTACAGATTCTCGCAGTTGGCCATGTGCATTCCAGGATGGTTGGAGGTGTTTGCGTTGCGTCGATGTCGATTGCCTCCCCACTGGTGTTGTGGTCCTTGCTCTCCACCGATTCCGTCTCTTATCCTTATACTCTGTGCCTCTCTTTCTCTAGCTTGCAGTTTGTTTGTTTTTTCCCATGGGTGGCTTGGTAATCGTTCGCTTGATTGCCACAGCACGACGTGGCAAGAAGAGAAGCAGGACATAAATGATGTTTGTGCTGGGGTATAATATGAACTTGAACGTCATGGTTTACACTCGGATGAAGCAGTATGCATGTGTTTAGGCTGTTGTCGCAATGACAAGGTAAGTTATGCACTTGATACGTAAGTATGAGTTACAATCGTCTGGAGATGGTCGTACATGTGTTCATGTATATAGGCTTGTGCTGATGCTCCAGAATATGTTTCTGCATACGCACGCACTAGAGTTCGTGTGCGTTCAGGGGTACGCATGCAAGATGACATGCGCATGCAAGGTTCAACGCTGGTGCGTAGACATACGCAACGCGCGCCGAATCGGCTATGGTCGATACCATCCCCCGTCCGCCTCCCCTTTTCGAACTAATGCCGAGCAGAGAAAGTGCAGACTGCCCCTTCACGCACGCTTCCCCGGGGCAGCGCGGCAGAGGCGATCCGGTCGCGCGCTCTAGATGCCTGGGGCGCGTGGCGTGTTCTTTCCCGGCAGCAAGAGAGTGAAGGAGGAAGAGGGCGGCCGCAGCAAGCAGGCGGGGGCAGGGGGGCACTCACCGCGGAAAGAGTTTCAGCAGGAGGGGCCAGAGCGGCCAGCCTGTGCTGGGGCGACCTGGCAGTGGGCGCGGAGCGGCATCGCGACCATACGGCTGCAGGCGCTGAAAGCGTGGAGCAAGTCGAGCCAGCACGTCAGGGGAAGGAGCGGCACGCGAGTCCACAGCGGCGAGGGTAGACGCATCCAAGTGTCCGTCACGAAGCCGTAAGCGTCCGGTTTTGCTGCCAAGGTAAGGCGCCAGCAGGATGCAGACACAGCCGGAGCGTCCGTGTGGGTGAGTGGGGCTGCGGAGGGCGCGCTGCAGCAAAACGTTGTCATGCTGAGCCCGCGGGCTGCCGAGCTGCTGATCGACTGGCTCACCGGAGCGGCGCAGCGAAGCGAGAAGCCACCCGCCAGCGCCAAGGATCGCACAGGTGCGGGCAATACTTATGTCTATATCCACTGCAGTATGGAGTTTCGGGCTACCTTCCCAGGAAACCCGAGGCGCACTGGATATGGATAAACTTGCCCCCTAGAGGCTCGATTTTGATCCATGTCCAGTGCGCCTCGGCCTTGTGGCGCCGCTTCCAGAAAAGTCCACGAGGCACTGGATGTGGACATGAATCTTGCCCGCAACAGGCGGCGGGGGCACGAGCAGGGGCTATGGGCCCCAGCGGCCCGGCCAAAGCGCACGCAGCACAGCCGGGCGGGGCAAGAGGGCGCCGGGCCACATGGGGCATGGCCAGGCAGGGCCGCCCTGCTGCGAGAGCCGCGGGGCAGGCGGCCCGACAAGGAGGAGGAGGAGGAGGAGGAGGAGGAGGAGGAGGAGGAGGAGGAGGAGGGAGGGGGGGGAGGAGGAGGAGGAGGAGGAGGAGGAGGAGGAGGAGGAGGAGGAGGAGGGGAGGAGGAGGAGGGAGGAGGAGAGGAGGAGGAGGAGGAGGGGGAGGAGGAGGAGGAGGAGGAGGAGGAGGAGGGGAGGAGGAGGGGGAGGAGGAGGCGGAGGAGGAGGAGGAGGGAGGAGGAGGAGGGGGGAGGGGGAGGGCGGCCCAAGTCTCAACGGGGGGGCAGCGCGAGGGGCAGCACCAGGCGCACCGCACGGTTGATATGGCATCTGCGCGGACAGCATGTGTCGCCCCATCAGTGGCCCGGGAGCGCCGCCCAGACACTTCCAGCGCGCCACTTTTGCGCTGTCGCGCCGGATCGGTGCCCATACTCCTGCGGGGAGCGCCCACCTTGCGGGGGTGGGCGCTCCAGCCAAGGTCGGCAACGCGCAGAGGGTAGGGGGAGGGGGGAAGGCTTCTTAGAAGCACCCCTGCTTCTTAGAAGGCGCGGGCCTTCTCTATAGACGTAAGGCCGAGGCATTCTAAGAAGCAGGGTGTTTCTAAGAAGCCTTCCCCCCTCCCCCTACCCCCTTTTGCGCGCCGCCAACAAGGAGCGAAGGAGAGAATCCACCCCGACGACGACGGCGACGACGCGCACAGGGCCCCCCTGCACGATGAGCAGCAGGAAGAGCGGCGGCGCGGAGGCGGCGCCCCCCCATCCCGTGGCCGCCAGGGCGACGGCGGTCACGTGCAGGGGAACGGGCAGGACCTGTCCCCCCATCAGGTGGCGAAGCGGAAGGCGCCCTCGCACGGCCTAGGGCGCTCTTCTGCTCGGGGGGGGGGAGGAGGGAGGAGGAGGAGGAAGGAGGAGCAGGAGAAGGAGGAGGAGGAACAGGAGGAGGAAGTGGAGGAGGAGGAGGAGGAGGAGGAGGAGGAGGAGGAGGAGGCGGCGGAGGAGGCAAAAGAAGGACGACGAAGAGAAGGGAAGAGGAGGAGGAGGAAGAGAAGGAGGAGGCGGAGGAGGACGAGGAAGTGGAGGAGGAGGAGGAGGAGGAGGAGGAGGAGGCGGAGGAGTCAAAAGAAGGACGATGAAGAGAAGGGAAGAGGAGGAAGAAGAGGAGGAGGAGGAGAAGGAGGAGGAGGAGGAGGAGGAGGAGGAGGAGCCGAAGAGCACGAAGTAATGATATTGATTGGGGACAGCACAAGCCACCCCCACCCCCAGCTTAGTCCCCCACTGACGACCTGGTGATCCAGGGGGCTCTGGCCGGGGGGGGGGGCTTTCTGGAGCTCTCGGGGGACACAGCTGGATCACAAGGCCGGCAGCAGGGGTCCTGACCTGGGGAGGAGGAGGAGGAGAAGGAGGAGGAGGAGGAGAAGGAGGAGGAGGAGGAGAAGGAGGAGGAGGAGGAGAAGGAGGAGGAGGGCGCAAATGCGCGAGCCCAGTTGGTTGCTAAATGGAGGAGGAGGAGGAAGAGGAGGAGGAGGAGGCGGAGGAGGAGAAGGAGGAGGAGTGAGGGTGGCTTGTGCTGCCCACTCCGGTGCGTTCCAAGGCTTCCAACGCCTCCTGTTGTCTCGCAAGGGCTCCAGACACGAGGGCCGCCGGATGCTCCAGACACGGCCTGGGACGCCCTTTTTCCGGGGCGAGAGCGAGGATGACCAGAGGAGCAAAATTGGGGGCAACGTTAAGGGGGGATGCGTTTACAGTGGAGACCCATGCCAAGAAACATCCTGGTTGCCTCCAGGGTGCCCTGGGTTTCTTGGGTTTCGATTGTTTTGCCGTGGAAGGCGCGACGTTCCCACACCAAAAATCAAGGAACGTGGTCTCAGGGTTGGGTTTCTGGTGGACTGGCCTCCACTGCAGGGGGGATGCATCGACCCCCAATAGCTCATGGATCGCCGACAGGGGGCCTGACAGCCCTCCCCGCCCAGGAAGGTGCGGATTTGCTAGCGGGGGGTTGTCGGCGATGGATCGTCGCTGGTCGAGGTGTCCGCCCCCCTGAGCCGGTCCCGACGTTCCCCCTCGCAAGAAGTCACGACAACAATACGTCTAAGGCTTTCAAGACTTCGTGTTGTTCCGCAGCGGCCCCAGAGACCGGGGCCACTAGATACTTCATCACTCGTGAAAAGTGGGATCCGTTGCCATTTTGGCTCAAGCCATTCCAGCTCAAGACTTGTATTCATACCTCATCGTCTCTAGGCTTGGCTGCTGCGGAGTTGACCGCAACACCCTTCGCTCGACGTGAGGATGTTTCAATTCGTCCAACGGCGCCTACCTTGCACGCTGGTTCTCAAAGGCCACGCCTAAGGGCTTGCGTGCTCCATCACATTCAACTTCCATCGTCTGTTCTTTTGTGTCTCATATGTTCCGTGGCACTTCTCGCTCTATTGCGATTTACAGAGGGTCTCCCCTGGCAACCCTGAATGGAAAGATTCGCGGCGAGGTGTTGGCAACGGTGACGCGCAGTAGATTTGCGGAGTTCGACAGCTCAGCAAAGGCAGCGGACTACAGTCCTGGCCTCCCCGTGAACGGATCAAGACGACACCCCGAGGCAGGGGGAGTATGATTTTCTGTACAACGGCCGAAGGGTCGAGTACAAGAGCTCCCAAATGCATTACAACGAAGCTTGGGACAGATGGTTGGTCAGTTTTCCTAGCATCAACTTTGCATTCGGAGCCAACCGGGCCCACCAGTGGTTTGACACATGGATGCTGATTCTCCACAGCCCGAGAAACCTATACCTATACATCTACGAGCACGATGCTCAATTTAGAATATACTCATGCGGTGATCAAACCTCCTCACAAGGACATTCGGTGAACATCAGTGCCAAGAGTAATGCTGAATGATGGCCCGATGCTTTGCAGAGCATCCTCAACAAGCTTGCCCTGGAAAGCGATTGCAAACTCCCCGTCGCAGACGCTCGTCTAAGCAATACAATGGACGAGCAGGTATCTCGTGAGATGGCTTGGCGTGCCGCTCGCAGAACGCAGTGCCTCAGCACGTGGACTTTGTCTTCAAAGTTTGGCCCGCGCTATAGACACAATGATACATCCGGAAGCTCACATTGCCGATCCCGCCGACGGATTTTGCACCAATGGTTCCCGACGCGGCACGCGGCTAGCTTCGTACGATTGGATCAGAGACAGGTTCCGTGTAGAATGCAAGAGTGCCCATTTCGATAGAAACAGGAAGGCTCGGATGTTCCAATTCCTTTCTATAAAGCCGCTTGGTGAAGATTACCCCTCTTGTGCAGCTTTTGACGAGCTCCTGCTGGTGCTGTACACGCCTCGGGGAATCTACATCTATCGGCATGACATGATACATCACCTATAGAAGCGGCGTCCTTCTGAGTGCTACATTAGGTCTGCGGCATGCAAGGCTGGTTTAAGTGTGATTGACGCCCTGGACGCATTTATAGTCTGTCTGGATGCCTCTGGGTGCCGACGCTTGGGCTTTGTATATTGGACTTGGAAAACAGAACAAAGAAAAACAAAAACCAAACAACTCATCGCATTGTCACATTACCCTCGTCCCAGATGAGGAGGGGTACGTCGGAGTGGGCGCTCCTCTGTGGCCGCTTGCGGGGGGGCGGTTCGAAACCCCCTCCGCCCCCCCGTCCCACAGGGGTCGGTCGAGGCGCGCCCCCCCCCCCGGCCTGCCGCGGGCGAGAGGCACATACATCCGTGGCCGGGGCCCCGCGGGTCGGGCCCCGGGGCCACGACCCCGCGGACCCGCGGGGCGCGTCCTCGCGGATCCCCCGCGCAGAACGCGGCCGTGCGACCGCGGACCCGCGGGGCAGGGCTCGCTCCGAGTCCTCCGAATTCTATTCGATTCGGTTTCGATGGGCTCCGACTCCGATTCGACTCGACTTTGGATTCCGATTTGGGCCCCGATTGCCTACTCGAGGCCTGCTAGCCCGCCGATGTCCGCCGATGCGACTTTCCCCGACTCGGCTGCCAATCTACGCCGATCCGATTCAGTTCGATCGCCGATCCGACTTATCGATTCGATTTTGGGTTCTCCTGCGGGGGCGCGTCCCGGAATCGGAATCCAGACCGCGCGGGCCCGGATGCGGCAGCGTTCGCCGCTCGTGAGCCTGTACTCGCCGCTGGCAAACGACGGCGGCGGTCGCCGACGCCAGCAAACAACGACGGCGAGGGCGACGACGACGACGACGACGACGACGACGACGACGACGACGGGCCCCCGCGTGACAACACGATGGCGCATCATACTGTAATACGGTCGGACCGACGTATGAGATCGAGGAAGAGACCCCACTGTTTTTGTGCTTGTCGTATGTTCTTGTAGGGTGCCCTCGGTGATCGTATGGTTTGGGGCGTTCTGGCTGGCGCAGGGTCTCATGCTCTTGGAGGATGTTCTGTCCTAGGGCGCCCGACCCGACTCGCGCCCGACTCGCGCGTCAGTTGGTAGTCCCCAAACGTGGTGGTGACAACACCTGGCGGTGAGTCTCGGGCGATTTGGTGTCACCACCCGGTTTGGGGACTCGTGCGGTTTTCCGAGGATGTCCTGGACACTGGTGGGTCCAGGAGTCACAAAACCCGGTGGTGACCCCGCGTCCCCAAACCCAGCGGTGACCTTTCTGGGGATTCCAGGTCGCCACCCGGTATCTCACCACCCGGTTTGGGGGTTCCCAAGTCAGGGTTGGCCCGCCCGTCCGCGCGCGTCGTCCTCGTCGGCGGCGGCGGCGGAGGCGGAGGCGGAGGCGGGGCGTCGTCGTCGTCGTCGTTGAGGTCGTCGTCGTCGTCGTCGTTGTCGTCGGTAGTCGTTTGCCGGCGCCCGCCGCCGTCGTCTGCTGGCAGCGAGTAGGGGGGCGGGGGGGGGGGCAGGGGCGAATCCCCCCCCCCCCGTTTTTCCGGGGGCGCGGGATTTCTGGGGGAATCCCCCCTGGTCCCTACGAGTCGCGGCGCTTCTTGTCTTGCATGACAGCATCGCTGCTTCTAGTTGTGATACTTGTCTTCACTGCTACGCTCCGTCCTGCTGGGTTTCTGTTCCTCGGGAGCTGCAGCGTGCTGCCTGTTTCGGCGCCTCACCTTTCAGGAGGGAAAAAAACACACAGACACAATTAATCGTCGATCCCCAGGAAAATATGGGAAAATATGGGAAGTGGGGGGGAAGACAGAAACCCAGAAAATATAGGAAAATATGGGGAAACTTGTTATTTGTGTGTATTTATTTGTGTGTCCCAGGGCCCCTTCAGTTTGGCCCGTCACGTGGGCTGCGGGGGGATGCGGGGCGCTCCGGGAGCGGCGTCGCCTCTCCGAGGCCAGCAGGCCTGCATCCCTTCGTCGGCGGAAGGCAGCTCTGTGGGCAGAAGTCCGGCGGGAGGGCGCCGGAAGCAAAATACAGCCGAGGCGCTGAAAGAATGGCCATTCGGGGCTCAGGAGGAGGAGGAGGCAGAAGAAGGAGGAGGGGGAGGTGGAGGAGGAAGAAGGAGGACGATGAAGAGAAGGGAGGAGGAGGAGGAGGAGGAGGAGGAGGAGGAGGAGGAGGAGGAGGGAAGAGGAGGGGGAGGGGGAGGAGGAGCTCAGCTTTTCGGGTCGATCCTTAGACTTCATCAGGCCGGGGAATCCATTCGTGGGCGAAGCCCGCCGCGGCCAGAAAAGCACCTCCGTTCCTTACATCTTGCGTTCCTCATGTCAGCACGCCGACTGTAACCTCAGGAGGTCTTTCATGCTGCTGGAGCCCCCAAAAAAAGAGCCCTTGCCTGGCAATAAACTCTGCCCGTCCATCTCCTCCTCCCCTACCTCCTCCACTGTCTCCCTTTCTCCTCTTCC